TCAAGAGACCTTAAAAATGTGGCTCGGATACCAATTGTTGAATCAAAATAGAGTAAAAACTCTAATTGATCGAGAAGAAGAAAAACTCTCTTTAGAATAATCTCACAAAATTGCAAAAGGGAAGAACTCTTAAGAAAGCTTTCAAATGCTTATAATTAAGCTTTGATTGTTGGATGATAAAACTCAAATACAAGTAGGGTATTTATAGGTTACAAGAAACAATCTAAACCACTCATTAAAATAATCACTAAATAATCTAAACCATTGAAATTAAAACATGAGAAAAATTCTTAATTTTCACCTAACTAAATTGATGTAAGCAATGACATCAAAACTAAATTAATATAAGCAATGACATCAAATTAATTTAGGTGTGAACTTATTTAGGCTAATATTGAATTTTCAACAAAGCTTACATGGGCCCTTGAAGTCTATTTTGTGTGAAACATTGGCAGCGTCATGCGTTACATAGTGTGTAGCATCCTAATCAACAATCCACTTCTCATATGTATTAGGAACCAAACAAGCCGTTTGAGCCTTAGCAGAATAACCACGATTTCTACTGGAACAACAATCACAACCATGACATTCATCATAAGCAACATAATGAGGCATCACCATATTCTTCCCTAGAATGAGAACCACCACTGTTGAAGAATCCCTATGAAAGTTCTGATTGAAGTGCTGCCAACACCTCTCTACCAGATGCCCATTATTACCGCATAATTGACATTGCACGTTGGTCGTCCATGACCTCTGCCCTTTGTTCTTCCATCAGAATATGTTCACTAACAATTTCTAATCACGAGCATCACATGTGTTGGAAGAGTTCTTGAACACTGCCATTCGAGCTACATTAGCAAGCATCGACATTTTCAAAATGATCATTGAACCCTGCCAATTGGGCTTCATCATCTACCAACGCATTACACACTCCTAGTGACGGAGGCTCTCTATTAGTGGTTAAAATTATCATGAACGGTTCATACTCCCAAGTCAAACCCTTCAAGATGCTCGTGATATGCTCCATCAAAGAGACCAGACTGCCACAAGATGCAAGGGAATCACAAACCTCCTTTACACGATTAAGATAGACTTACATGTTGTCATTACCCTTCTTCATTGATTGCAACTTATACCGCAGGCTCATTACTGACGTCGTAGATCTGTTCGAAAAGAATTGAAAAAAATGTGTTGCGCACTGTAACTGTTGTCTTGACTCCAACAAATTAAGGAAGAAAATGCGCATTCACGGTTGATAAAATCCAAGATGCAAGGGCGTTGTTATGCGCAACAAACTCCTTATATATTAGGTGGTTCACTAGAATTTTTTTCTTATTCTATTTTGACTATCCTTTTAATCATTTCGGTGAAATTGTTAGGTGGTTCATTAGAATTTTTAGTAAGAAATTTATGGATAACATTTCCCATCGATAGAAAATATTTTTGTTTTTGTTTCTTTTTTTTAGTTTTATAAAAATTAGAAAATATATTAGGTTAATTGAATTGAAAATTTGTTTTTAGAAATAACAATATTAAAAATGTGTTTAGTATATATTTTTTAAAAATAGAAATAAATATATAATTACTAAATAATTAAATTAAAATATAATTCTTAAAAATATAATAATAAAAATATTATTGAACAAATGAAAATTTTGAAATTAATAAAAAAAAGAATAAAGTGTTTATTCTTGATTAAAAAAATAATTAAATATGTTTTAAAAGAAATAACTATTCTCACTTCATAATGATATAACAATTTTTTCTATAACTTGAGTCATTTAAACACTTTATGATATATCATAATTTCTTATTTGAATTAGATGAAGTTATTTATGTGACATTGATAGATTCTAGAACTCACGAGGAAGACAAAGAAAGGACATGATGAAAGCAAAACTTAGGGTATATTTGTTTGGGAAAAGCAATTACGGAATTGGTTTTCTCCGAAATCCCATGTTTGTTTCACGTAATTAGTTTTCTGGAAAATGTTTTCCAGTGTTTGGTTGGAGGAAAACTGGTTGGTCAACGTAAAATATTTTCCTGGTCAACAGAATTTCATTTGTGTTTTTTAGAAAATGACTTAAGGTCTGATTTTCGGTAAGTCATTTTCTGAACTTTTCACTTCAAAGAATAAATACTCAAAATAATTTTATTTTATGAATTTAATATTAATAAAATATTTTAATATAAATTTAATCAAAATATTAATTATTAAAATATTTAAAATATATTTATTAATATTTCTAATAATATAATATTATTAATAAAGATTTTTTAAAATATAATATAACACTATTACTTTAATAAATAATTAATATAATTTATAATATTTTTATTTCAATAAAATATGCCAATATTAATATTTTTATTAATAAAATTATAAAAATAATATTTTATAATAAATAAAGTATTTTTAATATTTTAAAAATAATAATATTAAGTTTTATGATAAATAATATTATTTATTGTAATTAATATTTGTAATAAATAATTTTTAAAAAACTCATCACCTAGTGGAAAAAAGGTTTAAACAATATCTTCCAAACATCGTAAAATGTTTTCCAGATGTTTTTTCTGGAAAATGTAATTAATTTTCCATAATTCATTTTCCAGTAATCCATTTTCCAGAATTCAATTTCTAGAAAACCAGTTACAACCAAATAAACAGTTAGAGAAGAATGATACAGTTAAGGAAGATAAGAAACTAAACTTTAGTAATAAGGCTAAATGAATAAAACTCATCCTCATTAATCAAAACTAGGACAGTCATCATAATGAGTGAACCTAATGATGACAGGCATCATAATGCCACAACAAAAGAAAGACCCCACCAGCAGAAAACGAAGTTGCGAAATTTTGCTGTAACAATTTCTTGAAATTTGAGGACTACTTGGAGCTTGATGATGAAGATGATGAGGAGCACAAAGAATATTAAAGGGAGATGCATCAACCTAGCTCGCTCATAGCTAGATGAGGTACGCAATTTGAATCCTTGAATTTCACTAAATTTACTCTTTCCAAACCCTCACTTGTGCACCTTCCCACTTTAGAGTTAAAACCATTACATTCGCATTTTAAGCACATTTATTTGGGTTGCAATAAAAATTTGCCTATGGTTATTTCTGGTAATCTTAAGCCTGGGAAAAAGAGTAGTTCAATTCATATTTTATCTGAACATAATTTTTTTTTTAGTTTTGACCACTATTGATTTGAAAGGGACTAAAAACCAAGTAGCTGGTCATCTTTCCAGACTAGAAACTATGAAAGAACTAAGGAATGAACTAGAGATTAAAGAAGAATTTCCTGACGAGAAATTATTATTTGCCACATAAATTTTGTGGTATGTTGACATTGTCAATTTTCTTATTAGTGGTATTTTGCCTCCTAATTTGAATAGCCATGGAAGGAACAAATTCATACACGATGTTTGTTACTGTCATTGTGATGATCTCTACCTCTTCAAACAATGTGATGACCATATGGTTAGAAGACGTATCCTCGAATAAGAGCAAGAAGAGATCATATACCACTACCTTTCAACTTCATGTGGAGAGCACTTTAGAGGAGAAAGAACGACTTCAAATGTCCTATAATCTGAGTTATATTGGCCTATATTCTTCAGAGATACCCAAGATTTCTATAAATCTTGTAATAGATACCAAGAAACAGGGAACATATATGGAAGACACAAAACACCCAAGTAAAAATATTGAAGGTTGAATTGTTATATGTGTTAGGCATTTTGGTCTATATTAGTGCTCCAATTGAATGTGACAAAAATTATCATATCAATTCAATATGTTTGAGAGTTTGCATCATTTTAACCTTCTCTAATTTCTTTTATAACAAATTTTTAATTTTTGTTTGTTTGTTTATTTTTTCTTTACTGTTTAATTTTAATATAGTTTTTTAGTAGAACGTACTCCCAAACATGTTGACAAGAGTAAAGCCCCATGGATGTTGAACCCACTCAGGAAAAAGACTCATTTGCTACCGGCATAAACGATGAGATGAATGAATGATAATATCCTTCCTCTATATGCACTACCACTAGCTTCGAAACTGGTTAAGAAACGTCGCTTGAAGATCATTGTCGGTCATGTCAAGCACATGGCACACAAGACCCCACCACGACCAAAGTAGACTTAGACAAATTACCTTACAGTGCATTTCATTTCATTTAGCTTAGTTTTAACTTAGTTTCTATTCATTGAGGATAATGTTTTCTCTAAGTTTGGGGGAGGTAGTGTTCATAGTTAATCATTTGCATTTGTATTTGTTAATAGAATTTTCTCTGGTATTTGGTTGCATCAGATACAATTTTATGAATAAATTGATGATGTTTAATGATGAAAAAAATTATGGTCGTGATTGAATGTACATGACTGTTGAGATTGGTAGAATTGACTTTAGAACTTGATTCTTTGCGATTGAACTCTTACACGATTGCATGTTCTCAATGCTTAAGGACTTTAGAAACTTTTTATGAAAGAACTCTTGGATGACTTAGTATGAATTTATGTTATGATAGCATAAAAGGCTTAAATTAAACTTCCTTGTGTTGATTGAATGTGTTGAATTGTGAATAAATGCTTCAGTATAACTGTAAAGGGACACTCCTCTTTGCTATAGCATTGCCTGGAAACCCCCTTGAATAAATGGTAGCAATAGCATATGAGTGAATGAAAGTAATCACGGGATGACTCTTCTCAATAAGCTAAAGAATGGGGTGTTTGCTCCACTTCATTTTCAAGTCTAGGAAAGTAGTTGTGATATGTTGACTCCTCTCGTACAGTGAAATATATTTTTTAAAGAAATAAGAGTAATTGTGTGCTTAAAGTTTAAATAAATACTAAGGTAAAGTAGAGAATTTGCATAGAAATTTTCTAACTTAGTTAAGCATAGATTGGATGCAATTCCTCACGCACACGTAAAGAATCTAGTCCTAGGGAAATGTTCTTAAAATCGCAAAGTGTCTGGCATGTTGAAGCCACTTGTTTCTGATGGCTGAAATTTTATGCCTTACAACTATTTTAGATTAAACTTTACCATAACATTTCTTCTATTGATCACTATTCGTTGCTTGAGGACAAGCAATAGATTAAGTTTGGGGTGTGATAACCCCGTAAAAATGTTATATTTTGTGCCTTTTTATTTAGATTATTGGTTCTTTAAAAGCCCATTTCATGGCATATAGTTGTGAAGATACTAATTTTTTTACCCATTTTATTTATTTATTTATTATTATTATTATTATTATTATAATTATTATATATATTATATATATATTATTATTAAAATAATAATAATAATAATAATAATATAATAATAATAATTACAAACCGGCCCAAACCCTAGCTTCCAGCCGCCTCGCCAGAAACCTCCACTCTGCTCCATCGTTGCCACGACACCAAACGAGAATTCCAGAACACCAGATGGCATCCCACAACCATCCCTACGGTGAGTCACCAGCCTAGCTTTGGTGACTCACTGAGGCTTACATTCTTTAACCAGTTCGAAGAGGAGCACCAAGGTGGCTATAAAAGCCACCGTTCCCTGCAAGAAGAAGAGAACAGACAACAAAACGCCACGGCAGGAAACAGAGGCGATAACAACCAAAGAAAACAAACGAAAGAGAGCAAAACAATCACAACAACAACCAGAAAAGAAATAAAGAAGAAACGGGAAAGCAACTTACCAAAGAGGAGCCTCTACGAGCCACCGGAGAACCGAAACGTCGAAGAGAACTATCCTAGATCTACGACGATTGGTAAGGTTTTAAGCTAAAACAACCTTAGATTCGAGTATAGAAAAAAATGGGCTTCGATTTGGGGTGGGTTTTGTAATTTCCGGCCACCGTTAGCGGTGGCCGGCGGTGGCGATCGGCACCGGAAACAGAGGCCGGTCTTCTTTTCCGGTGAGAGAAAACGAGAGCTTCTCTCTCTAAAGAGAGAGAAGCAAAACCAGAAAAGTGAGAAAGATGGCCCTTAGGGCCGGCTTAAATGGGTATAAATACCCTCATCAAAACGACGTCGTTTTGGTGAGGGTATCTGTGTAATTTCACATATGGGTAAACCCCATCCGCAGTCCATCAGTTTTATAACTTTACATTTTAGTCACTAAATCAATTTATAATCTTTTTAATTCGGTTCTTTAATTTTAATTTTATTTATTTTAGTCATTTGTATTAAAATAATATATTTAGGGTAAATAACAGATTTAGTCCGTTAATTTTAATAATTAATATTTTAATCCCGAGTTTATATTTTTAATTTATTTTAATTTAATATTCGAATTTTATATAGTTTTATTTTAGTCACTAAATTAATAAAATAAAAAAAATAGCATGTTTAATCCCTATAATTTTGATTAATTATGAATTATGTTTTTAATTTTAATTTTACTATAATTTAGTCACTTATTTTAAATGTTTTTTTATTTCTTTTATTGCTTTTAAATACATAGTTCTAATTGTATTTATTATTTTAATTTTACATGTCTAAATATTTTTATTATTATTATATAGTCATAAATATATATATAATAAATAAATATTTATTTTTTTAAATAAATTATTTTTAACATTTATTTTTCAATATCGAAGAAAATGGCAGTCTTAATACAACTGGATGTCCTATTCTGGTATTTTAAAATTAAATATTATAAAAAAATATTATTTAATTTTATTCAAATTAATATTTATTAATATCAAAGAAAAGAGCTGTCTTAAGGCACCTAGAAGTCCTTTTCCGATATTTTTAAATATTTTTTATATAATTTTGAAATAATAGGATTATAAATTAAATATATTTTAAATTTTAATAATAGAGACAATTTATAATTAAAAAGTACCAATTTTGGGCGTTGTAGGGGTGCTAATCCTTCCCTAAACGTAACCGACCACGAATCCCTTTTTATTATTAAAAAGAACGAATTTTTGGTTATAAACGCAGATCAGTTCATTTTTTTTATTTGATGTTTTTTTAAAACTCTTTTAAAAAAAATAATAATTTTTAGGTATTCGACCTACCTGACCCCAAAAGGCCGATGGCGACTCCCAAATTATTTTCAAAAACCATTTATTCACATCAATTTTCCCGCCAAGTATAATATTTCGTGCCCGGACGAAAATCGGTTACGACAGCTTGGCGACTCCACTGGGGATTTGGTCAAACTTTAAAATCAATTATAAATTGTCTCTATTAATTAAAAATTAAAAATTCATATTTATTTATTTTTTAATTCTTTTCTTTCAAAATTTTTATTACTTATTATTTTCATAATATTTATATGTATATTATTATTATTAATATTTTTATTTTATTTTTCATATTATTTGTTTGTCAGAGGGTTGAACATTTCTCCTCACACACAACACTTGCATTACATAAAGCTCTATAATTGAGTTTGTCCCTTTTAAGTGGGAGTGAAAGCGACGTCTTCGTGAGAATTTATTCTCCGTGTCGGACCTAGCAAGTAACTTTCGGGGTTCATATGCTTTTTGTCTTCGTGAGAATTTATTCTCCGTGTCAGGCATAGAGAAATGTGTCCCCTCGAATTGAACTCGGTCTGCTTAAGTCTGTAGTGGACTATGATTGAGGGTTGGCAGCCCAAGAGGGCATCAACAAGGACAATTCGAGTACCTTTACTCCTAGAACTAAAACTCTGCATATAATAAACCCTAGAAATTCACTTGATCTAAGACAATACTGAACCTCTGTTCATAGGTATACACAAAGGAGAAATAAGCTCTAGCTTTTAATTTATTTTATTTCCTTTTCTTTTTTCTGAATAAATGCATGCGAACTAGAAATCATGTGGTTAGGTTAACTTTTTCCAAACAAAGCATGGAACTAGAAAGCATGAGGTTAAGATTTATACCTTGATAGATAGATTTTTTTCCATTAGTTGGTAATAACTATTCTATTTTTTTTATTTTTTTCATGCATTTTACATTGCTCTAATCTGTTCATATTGATTTCTTTTGTTGCATGATCATGGCATAACCAAAAGGTGTTTACTTGAAAGACTGTTCATCATATTAGAAAGAAATCGTAAATGGACAAAAAGTTTTATGATCAAACAAAATATGATACGACCAAGGAAAGACATCCTAAAGAAACTACGAGGATCGAGGGAAGTTCTGCACACAGAGAACCGGTTATATTAATACCAAAAGTAATCCATAAAGATTCTGCCAGATTGATACCAAAAGCAGTCTATGGTAAGAGTATCAGTCGGGACATTCAGAATAGTGGAGATTTTTATGAAGCTCAAGCATGTTATTTGAAGGACTTGAACGACCAAAACGAGAAATTGAGCACAGAAATGAAAACCATGCATGAAGATTTTCTGAAGATCAGTCAAACCTTTCAAAATGCTGGCCTAGGAAGTACCCCAGAAGAATGGATAACAGGGGTCACCAAGCTGAAAAAGAACTGCAACATATATGAAGATCTTGTTCAAGAACTTCTTGGACAGAAAAGATATCTTACAAGGGAAAATGAGCAACTCCAAGAATTGATACAGAAGATGAAAGAGAATGTCATGGAAGAAGCTGCAGTCCAGACAAGCAATATGACCCATAAGCTGATAGACCAACCTAACTTTACGAGGAATTGAAGCAGACTGATAATTCAACTATTGAGCATGAATGGAAATTAACTTGGCTTTAGAGAAGTCAGGAGGGAAAGTTATCCCTTATATGTAAAGTTTTGCTAAAGTTAGGAGTGAAAGATATCCTTATATGTAAAGTTTTGTTTGATGTACCGAAACTTTTGTGTTCAATGAAATCTGTTCTAAGATGATCACTCTTGAGTAAACACCTTTTCATACATGCATTTGCATTTTGCATCTTTGCATTTTTCATTGTGCATTTATACTTTTATATTTGTTTTTGTACTATACAATTTGCATTTTTATTATTACATTCACATATTTACATTTGCATTTACATTTGCATTTTTACGTTTGTATTTACATTTTCATTTTTACATAATTACATTTGGTTTTAAACTATTTTATATACATTTAAACATGAAAACATGAGAGTAATTCGTGTAGGATTCCATGACAGAATTTATGAAATCAAAGTGGAGCTAACTTGGTCTTCCTAAACAAGGATAAGAACCATGAATGAGATCTTAGAAAGGGTCAGTAGAATCGAGAAACTGCAAGAGCAACTTATTAAAACTCAACAAGAAATGACTAATCACGCAAAAAAGATCCAAGCTGATTTAAAAGAACAAATGACCACGTTAATGGATATGATGAATGATATGATCCATGGAGAAAAACCCTTAAAGGATTCCGCAGTGAAGGCTATGAATGAGGATCTGAATGATAATGATGAATTCGACGTGATATTGTCTGATGATTATGAACCTATTAGTGAGTATGGTAATTCAGGACCGCTTCAAGATTTGGTCCCGAAGGGTATGGATGAATTAATAGTGAATGAAGAATCAATGAATGGAAAAAGTTAACTTGTGAGAGATAAGTTTTACCCAAAGAAAAAGGACATAGAAAAGGGTCAAAGGCTAGTCAAGAAGAAAAAGAATGTGCAGAGTTTTCAATTTCCTCCTTTCCACTTTTCAGGTGAAAAATCATATTCAAAAATGCTCTCAGCTAGCTTAACTACTCCACGACTTGTTCAGTCACAATGGCCTCCAAATGAGAATTGGGCCTATAAGGATGTTCCTTGGATAAATCAAACTGGAATTCCCAGTTGTTCAACTAAGGTTCCTGATAACCTTGAGGGAAATTTCCAAGATCCTTTAGAGCAAGCAATTCAAAAATGTAAGGTAAAAGAAGGGGTGAAGGTTCAATGTTCAGAAATTGTTGCTTCAACAGAGACTAATGTGACCAAATCCTTCAAAGAAAATGGGAAAAAAAATCAAAAGGCTCCCATGGATGTAATTCGAGATTGGCCTATAGGTCTAAGAAAGAATGAGGCAGATATAACCCAGAAGACACCTCAGATACATGTATCAGATTTTCCGAAAA